AATTAAAATATCATTTAATCTGGATTTAGATGCTTTGAGCTATTCTGAAAAGATTTGCTGACTTTGAGGCATTCTAGAGTTCTCTGAAATATTTCTAAGTCTGGTCTGCTTATCTGATTTATCTGATCTAACTTATCTGACTGATCTGATCTTATATATCTAACTGGGTGCAACTCGACTTAATCGTGGTCCGGGTGCATACGCACGGACACGACATCAGTCGACGCACAACTTTTCTACTCGGATCTAGAGTTCATCCGGACTGACCGAAAAAGGCCAAACTAGGGTTCTTTACTCAACCGGCTATCTATCTCGGTTCAAGTCAAAAGCTCAAACTTTAAGTTCAACTCGATTTCTAGTGATTTTAGCCAAGTCTCAACCGGATAAATTCTAGGGTTTTCACCAAAGCAGCTAAAGTCTCGAATTTGTAGGCATACCAAACAACCTCTAAAAATTATGAAATTTAACCCACGTCATACTCAGCATTTATAAGATTTTTCGAGAAAGTTGCATCGAATTCTGAGGTCTTATCATATTTCTCATAAATCGGGCATTTCAGCTACTTATTCAAAAATCCAGTTAACATACTAAACGAGCACCAAAAATTACGAAATTAAAACCTAGGCCTCAAGTCAGCTATACAAATTTTATCACACTAGTTTCGCATTTTTCCAGGTAGCAACCAATATTTACAGAATTTAATGTCATTTAAGCCGATAAATTCACCATAAATCTTATAATGCTCGAAATCACCTCCCGTAAATTTTAAAATTCATCTAAATATTCGATTAAGCTCATGGAGTAAGGTTTAAGCCGATATACCTCTCGAAGGGTTCAAATCGAAAATCGGAACTTGATAAAGACTAGGAAAATGGGTCGGCTATTTGAAAAACGGATCGGGCAACAAGTTCGGGTCAGTTTTTGAGGCGCTGGACTCGGATCTGGGCTGTTGGGCTGCTGGTCGTCGAGCTACAGTAACTCCGAGCAGCGGCGGGACGCCAGAATAGTGCTGTGAACTCGCTGTGAGAAGTTTGCCGGAAATGGTGGCCTTTTTCCGGCGTGAACTCGTCGGGTGGTTGCGGATCTGAGCTATGTTGGTCGCCGGGTCTGGACTGCTCAGTCGCGGGTCGCGGGCCGAGACGGCGTTGGAGCGACGCGGCGGAGCTGAGCTGGGCTGCTGGTCTGCTCGACGGAGATGGTGGTTCGTCGGAGATGGTGGTGTTCGCTGGACTGGTTTGTGGTGGATTTGTACGGGGGCGCGAACTGAGGGCAGGTGCGAGCTTGAGGACGGCCGTGAAAAGGCTGGAACCGAGGCTGGGACGCGGCGGAGCTGCTGGGGCTTGAGCTCGCCGAAAAAATGGAGTTGGAGGAGAGGGCGGTGGTCGGGTCTTGAGCTGCGGGTTTGGTCGGGTCTTGAGCTGCGGTAATGGGCTGAGAGTCGCGGTGATGCTGGTGGTCGTCGCCGGCGGCTGTGGGCTGAGCTAGGGCTGCGGGTTTGGCTGGAAAATTGGGAGCTCGCCGGAAAATGGTCAAGCCATGGTGGTTGGAGGAATAAAGCTCATTTCCTTGAACAAGCTAAGACATAATATTGATTTTTTGGACTAGATCTTGAAATGGAAGGTGGTGTTTTAAGCTTCAATGGAGGTGGTGGGGTTGAAGAAGAAGAATGAATAGTAACTTGGGGGCTAGGGTTTCTTGTAGGTGTGTTGGGAGACATGGGGACATTCTATTTATAGGAGGGTGGGTAGCTTAGGGTTTTGCTCTTATTGGGCTTAGAAATCGGGCCTAATAGCTTGGGCTCGATTATTAAAAATACTACTTGGGCTTGAAAATAAATAAATTATGCAATTAATATTAATAATTCTCTGCATAATTAAAAATAATACTAATTTCGATAAATAAAGTCGAGCTACTAATATAATTTTGGTCTGGGGTGTTACACACCTTCTTGAAAT